AAAAAAAAAAAAAAAAAAGACTTGCCCTGTCTTGATTTTTTTTTTAAAGATTAAGACCAGAGCCGGGCACAGTGGTTCACACCTGTAATCCTAGCACTCTGGGTGGCTGAGGCCAGTGGATGGCTTGAGCAAGAGCAATGCCCTGTCTCTAAAAAGATCTAGGCATTATGGTGGGCACCTATAGTCCCAGCTACTCAGGAGGCTGAGACAACAGGATTAATTACTTGAGCTCAAAAGCTGTATGACACCACGGCACTCTACCAAGTGCAACAAAGTAAGACTCTATCTCAAAAAAAAAGACCAAAACTAAAATTTTTCTAAACAGAACCACTTTCAACTAGTATTATTAAACATTTTTAATGGCTTTGGAAATCAGATTTTGCTGCAGACTTGGTTATATTTTTCATGAACTTAACCTAAAACCATGGGTACTTTTATGTAACAGTATTTGTATGTAAACCTATGCTTCATAAAGTTATTTTGACAATGGCTAACATTGTTCGAATAACAACTAATATTAATATCACACTGCTTCCTATACCTCCTAGGCTGGCAAAACTTAAAATAAGAAGCGATATCTCCCTTCCTGTACAAGTTTGCAAGAGATATATTTTCCACACTCAAATCACAGTGCAAGAACATTTTTTGGATCTCCATGCAAACACAAAGGAAATTTCCAAATTTCAGAATCCATTTAACTGTGCAGTTGAGGAGCTTCCAATTAATCTTCATTTGAAAATGATTAATGTGCTCTTCTCTTCTCCTCCATGCCCTCTCCTCCTCTCTCTCCTCTTCTCTCCTCCCTCCTCCTTGTGCTGCTCTGCAGCATCCCTCCCTTGCCAATAAAGACCTTTCATTAAAAAAAAAAAAAAAAAATGATTAATGTAATGACATGGCAAAAAGCAAATACCAAGAGGAGAATTTAATAGAATTGTATTTTAGTCTATTAATCTTCCAAGTAATAAATGTGCTCAATTAAAAGCACACACTTACAGAAATGAAATATCTTCCCTCAGAATATTTCATCGAACTGCTAAGAAGTAGACCTGTATTGGTTAAAAAAAAAAAAAGGGAGGGGCGGCTCCTGTGGCTCAAAGGAGTAGGGTGCCGGCCCCAGATACCGGAGGTAGTGGGTTCAAACCCAGCCCCAGCCAAAAAAAAAAAAAATTAGGGAAGAATTTTTCTCTCTCTCATTGTATGAGTAACTATGCAACATCCTTTATCTTTCAAATTGCAAAACCTAAACTATTTACTATCTGACCCTTTAAAAAAAATTAACAACCCCTGGCTTAACATAAGGGAACTGAAACTTGGAGTTTAGAGAAAAGGAAAAAGTTTCTAATATCCTAGTGAATGTTTGATTGATTTAGCAGAGTGTTTACTATAAGATTTACTTGGAAGGGGGAGGACTTTTGGCAAATAAATATATACAGTTTGCAAATAGCCAATGAAATGTCTGCACTTTTTTACATTTTACTAACTTCATCTTAATTCTTAATTTGGTTTATAGGCAACATCAACTGGGCAAGTGGTGAGGATGACCATGTCGTTGCTAGAGCAGAATATGATTTTGCTGCTGTATCTGAAGAAGAAATTTCTTTCCGAGCTGGTGATATGCTCAACTTAGCTCTCAAAGGTAACAAATTATGAATAAGTTGGAATTACCTGTGAATTTTTAACATTTATAAAGGTAATGTTAAAAACTGCAACAAAGGATCTTGTTCATTATTTGTGGTGGTTACTAGAATCTTTAGATTTCCAAATTTGAGGGAGTCAGAAATATTAGAGTTGTTGCAATATTACTTCACTGAGATAAGGAAAATCCTTGTTTATGTAGTCTCTTCTAAATTCAGAACACTTGAACTTTAAACTCCATTAATCCAAACACAGAAACATGAGGTAAGTACTAAATGTAACAAATCTAATCATCCAGAGGAATAGCATCATCTAAGCATCCCTGTTTGCCCTTGATTACTGGGACTAATACTGCTTTTTCTCATTTGAATAGTGTTTACGGAAACTCTATTATAAATATTTTAGGAATTATTATTAAAGGATTATAGACTCTCAGTAAGAAATTCGTACATCTCAGGTTTATTTTTGAGCCAAGTCACAAATAGTTTTTAATGCCCCCAGGCAAATGACTTTTTCCTAGTAATGATTGTCAGGATTTTTTTTCTTTTCTTTTTTTTTTTTTTTAAATAAGACAGAGTCTCACTCTCTTGCCCAGGCTAGAGTGCCATGGCATCAGCCCAGCTCACACAACCTCAAACTCCTGGGCTCAAGTGATCCACTTGCCTTTGCTTCCCCAGTAGCTGGGAGTACAGATGCCTGGCACAATGCCCCGCTAATTTTTTTCTCTTTTTAGTAGAGGTGGAGTCTTGTTCTTGCTGAGGTCTGGAACTCCTGAGCCCAAGTAATCCACCTGCCTTCACCTCCCAGAATACTAGGATTACAGATGTAAGCCACCGTACCTGGCTACAATTTTTTTTTTTTATTTGTGTATTTGTGGGGATTCAGATTAATCCCCCCAAATTAACATTTTGTTGATAAAGGTACTAGTAACCACAACAGTTGTCCTTTATAGAATGCTTCCTATGTACAAGGTACTATATCCTGTCCTTGTTTTACATAGGAGACTCGTGTGTTTTACTCAGAATGGGTAAGTTGTTTAGTATCACAAAATTGAGGTGTGGTAGAGCTGGACTCTGAATCTAGGTTTGTCTGACTTCAAAGCCTATGCTTTTAATCACTTTGGCTTTTTCATGGGAGTATCTGTTAATGGGAACTCTAGCCTTACTGATTTTAGTTATTCTACATAAGTATAATACCTTCAATGTTCTGAGCATTAATTTTATATGTATATAATTGAAATTTTTACATCAGATTGTTAAATCTCTGCCTCATCTCTTCTGACATAAAGAGATGAGGCACTATTCAAATAAGAAAAAGCTTCATAAGGGTACAGTGGCAAAAGGCTAAGGTAGGGGGATTGCTTGAGGCCAAGAGTTGGAGGCTGTAATATATTATGTGCTTATGAATAACCTCTGTACTCCAGCCAAGGCAAAATAGTAAGACCCTACCTCAAGGAAAAGAAAAACCTAGGCTTTACATATTGTATTTGTGTTTTTCTTTTAGTGAAAATAGTGGTTTACTACTTTGGATTTCAAAGAATGATTTCTTTTTAAGATTTATTGTTAGGGACAGATACAACACAGATAATTAGTTTTAATCTAGATTAAAAATAAAGTCAAGAGTGGTTTCTTTCAATTGTAATATTTTACTACAACTAATAATACCTCTTAACACTTTGGCCTCTTTGCTTTCCTCCATTGCTCTAGAAAAGTATATTTGAGCATTTAGAACAAAATCATTCACAGACATGGTTAATTTAAGTGTTTTATTTTTTCCTTTTATTATGGCATATTAAACATTTTTTTTTTTTTTTTTTTTTTTTTTTGAGACAGAGCCTCAAGCTGTCCCCCTGGGTAGAGTGCCATGGCATTACAGCTCATAGCAACCTCCAACTCCTGGGCTCAAGCGAGTCTCCTGCCTCTGCCTCCCAAGTAGCTGGGACCACAGGCGCCCGCCACAACGCCCGGCTATTTTTTGGTTGCAGCCATTATTGTTGTTTGGCGGGTCCGGGCTGGGGATTCGAACCCGCCACCTTAGGTGTACATGGCTGGCGCCTTAGCTGGTTGAGCTATAGGCGCCGAGCCTTAAACATTTTTTTAAAAATATTATATTATGCCTAAATCATATTGAACTAAAAGTGTAACTGTTGAATAGCTTTTTGAGGACATGGTAGAGAAAATGGTAGAGAAAATTGATTATGTTAAATAATCTTTCCTACTCTAAGCTTAAGAGTATTGTTTTCAATTTTTTGTCCTATAGCTAGAGATACCTAGGTTCTTAAATTTTTTGCCCATCTTGGATTAAAATTAGCATTCACTGTCTTCAGGATGTTTATTACAGTCATTTGGGATGAATTTTATATTTTGGCCAAAAGTATGTAAAGAAAGATGATTACAGGCAGGGCACAGTGTAATTCTAGCACTTTGGAGACCAGCCTTAGCAAGAGCCAGACACCCATCTCTACAAAAAATAAAAAACTGAACCCAGGCACAGTAGCATGCCCCTGTAGTCCCAGCTGCCTGGGAGACTGAAGCAGGGCTTGAGTCCCAGAGGTTGCAGTGAGCTATGATGCCACTGGACGAAAACCAAAACAAAACAAAACATAAAGGTGGAGTGAGGGAAGGGAAAAAAATAACTGCCTTAAAAGTGTTTCCTATACTTATTTCTAACTCAGCCTATTGAGGAGGAATGAGATGTTCATTCATTGAATTCCAATTTTACTATGAAAGACATTGATGTTTTCAGTTTTAAGAGAACTGAATCTCCTTGTTCTATGAATGAACCAAGGTAGAAGAAAATATTCAGTAAGTGAAAAATAAAAAATATAAAACATAAGAATGGACTCTAGAACAGTTAAGTTTACTCAGCATTTGATTTTTAGTATACATGCATGTACTGTTTGTTTATATATTCTATTATGTAACACAAATTTTATGTAATAAATTTTACCGGCAGTATTCTGTTGGCCCTCCAAAGAGTATGTTCTAATTACAAGGCTGTCTTTTTTTCCAATCAGAACAACAACCCAGAGTGCGTGGCTGGCTTCTGGCTAGTCTTGATGGTCAAACAACAGGACTCATACCTGCAAATTATGTTAAAATTCTTGGTAAAAGAAGAGGTAGGAAAACGATGGAATCCAGTAAAATTTCCAAGCAACAACAGTCTTTTATCAACCCAGCGCTGATGAAAGGAGCCACAACTGCTGATTCTTTGGAAGAACAGGAAGCTGCCTTTGAATCTGTTTTTGTTGAAACTAGTAAGGTTCCAGTTGCACCTGATTCCACTGGGAAAGGTGGCGATAAACAAGATCTTTGATAATCTTTCATGTTTGCCTGCAGTTGAACAATATTTTAGAATTATTTTAAAATTATTTCTCTCAAAGAAGTTAATATACAATCCAATGAAAACTTTGTTATTGGCTATTCCAGGTGTTCTGCTGCTAGAAATTATTAAAGTTAAACACTAGGATGTTGGTCTGGTGACCTGGTCACATTTTACAAGTTATTAGACCATGAGGACATTTCATCTAGATATTAAGATTACTAAAACTGCCTTCATTTTCAACTTATTTAAATCCCTAGCTTTATTGGAAGAGTTAAGATTGATGAACTATAAAATGCATAGTTTGCTACAGTAGGGATCACTAATCCTTTTTAAACTTCTAAATTAATTGACTTGGAATCCTCAGAAATTGAGTGATAACATAAATATGAAAACAGGCAAAATGTCTGATTTTTTTTACATCCTTAAGTAAATTGAATAATAAAATTTTCTGATCTCTGTTATATGCAGTGTTGGGTTTGTGTTTTCATCCATAATTGATACTATTATCTTTTATTGTATGTTTAATAATTTATCTTGAAAAGGTCACCAGAAGCATTCTGAAAGAGATGGTTCTAGAATGAGAGAGTATTTAGCCCCAGTAGTTTCCCCTACTATTTTTAGGGGAAATTTATCTTTCTTACAAGTTAGTTCTATTTCTTTGAGGATCATATAATTCTTTATCTCTACAATATGACCAGTTTTCATCTTGGACAAATCAGGATATGTGTAAGGTTTACTTTCATTTCCTCCAAGACTCAAGTCCTCTGAGTGTGCAGTTAATGCTATCAGTTCTAGAGTAAAGGTTTTTAATCTTTTCATAGATCCTGCTTTTACTTAGTTTAATTAATTTTAAAATTCCATATTCAAGATGTTCTTTAAATATTGAAAATATGTCCCATTGGACACATTTCTTTTAAATTTAGTTTTTACTACAGAACTGTAAATAAAATGCTCAATAGCCATCTAACATACGACAATGCTATTTGATATATTTCTTGTTTCATAATGATTTTAAATGCAATTAACTTTCAGCGCACTGAATATTTCCCCAGAAAATTGTTCTGATTATACTACACAGGAATACAGCTTTATAAAAATACATTTACAATGTCATTGAAAACTTTGAATTACTTGATAAAGACTGTGATTTAATATTTTTTTTCTTTCTTGTAGACTTTATATTCATCAAATAAGTAATTCTAAGAACAGTTTAGACTAAAACATACAGGATCCCAACATAGAACTTTGCTAAAAGTTTCTTTTGAAATGACAATATATTAAGTAACATATCATTTAAAATTGAAATCTTGACATTGTGCAGGAAAAATACTTACTGTAAAATTTATCTTAGGCTTATTTTTCTAACACCCACATATTAGCCTTCAAGTTGAAGAAATAAAGTTTCTTATATGTTATTTTTGTGTTCTACAATTAAAGGTTCTTTGATTTGTTAGAGAATAATTCATGGAAGTTTTGTTTTTAAAACAAATTTTTGATAAAACATTATTTGGCATTGAGACATCTAAATTGAATGCTAGAAGTAGCAAAGTAGAAGTGAAATATTAAGTCAGCACTATTTAGGTTAGAGAAGATTAGTCATAAGATAGAATTTGTGACTACTATTAAAAATGTATAGGGAGAAGAATATTCAATAATGGTGCAGAATAAATGATAAATCAGTTTCACTTTTCTAAGGGTGTTTATTGTTTGGTGAAATATGCTCAATTACAATATACATTATCTGACTGGTAACTATGTCTGAAAATTTCCTTTCTATTATAACAGTTTTAGAAAACTTTTTTTTAGCTGAATTAAACGTGCTGTTCAAGATTCTAATTTTATATTTAGGAACATTTAAGAAGTGCTACTTCATAGAAGTTTACTAACTGAAACCAGAAAAAAATTATTTTAATTTTTCTGATTGTATTTTATCACTTCAGAAGGGAAAAGGTAAGAGTATCATAAATTTTCATGTTCAGCATTTGATTAAAGTACTTGATTTGGTCAGTCATCGTGCCATAATTACACATTTATTTGAACACAACTATACTTTATCTTTTTCATGGAAAAAAGAACAGAAACGGAATGCAGTTAAATTTTTAATAGTTTGTATAGTTTTACTGGAGAAATAAAAATGTATTATATTTGACATTTGGGGGCTGGGCACGGTTGCTCAAACCTGTAATCCCAGCACTTTGGGAGGCTGAAGTAGGAGGATTGCCTGAGCTCAAGAGTTTGAGATCATCCTGAGCTATAGTCCCAGCTACTTGGGAGGCTGAGACAAGAGAATTGCTTGAGTCCAAGAGTTTGAGGTTGCTGTGAGCTATGACACTACAGCACTTTACCAGGGGCAGCAAAGTGAGACTCTGTCTCCTAAAAAAGAAACTGACATTTTTAAAGATTAACTATTAATTCTGACAGGATTGGAATTAATATAAAGTCTCTATTTTTCTTTATAACACTGTTAAACCAATGTATCCTATTTCTTTGTGATTTAAGGAAAATATTATATTACATTTATATAAAAACTACCTACAGATGAGTTAAAGAAAATAAAACCTCAAATCTAGATTTTGGGGGATTTAGATTCCAGTCTGAACATCCCTACTTTAATATTTCATTTTCATTATTTTTCAGTTTCCTCATTGATAACATTAGGGATAGCTGCTACATCTGCCTCAAATGAGAGTGCTTTTAAAATATATATATATAGCAGGGCAGTGCCTGTAACTCAAAGGAGTAGGGTGCCAGCCCCATATACTGGAGGTGGTGGGTTCAAACCTGGCCTCAGCCAAAAACTGCAAAAAAAAAAAAGTGTGTGTGTATATATACGTATATATAAACACATAGCACAGTGCCACCATGGAAACATTGAAAACTATATGTGTATATATCACAATGAAAAGTAAGATGTTAGGACAGTTTTATGTTTTGTTTTTCCATGTATACTTAGACTCTGTGATATGTTTATAGAATTAAGTTTATCAGTCTAGAATTTGAGATTCACCCATATTTACCTCATAATTAAAATTAGTTCATTTATAACTTTGCCCAAAATATAATTTAAAATAATATAAAATTATTTTACTGAATACAAGAAAAACCTAACTTAGAAAAACACTTGGGATCCTGTAATCTTAGTACTCTGAAAGGCCTACATGGGTGGATTGCTTGAGCTCAGGTGTTCGAGGCCAGCCAGTGACCAGCCAGAGCAAGAGTGAGACTCTGTCTTTACTAAAAATAGAAAAAACTAGCCAGGCACTTATGGTGGGCACTGGTAGTCCAAGCAACTTGGGAGGCTGAGGCAGGAGAATCACTTGAAGGAATTTGAAGTTGCTATAAGCTCTGACACCATGGCATACTACCCAGGTCAACAGAGTGAAACTCCCTCAAAAACACACATATACACACTGGAATATTTGTTCAACACAAGAAATTTTGTTTTCTTAGTATTGCCTTGACATGTCTATTTACATTATATAGTTCTTTATTCAGTTTATCTTAATTGGGGACATAAACTGTTTCTATTAAGGTTAGCTAAATCATGACTCCTGTAGGGTACTTACCATATTATGATTATAACTTTTCACATTTCAAGAAATAATATTTAAGTAATCTTACTTCAGCATGGCATCATAGCTCACAGCAACCTCAATGCCCAGCTATTTTTAGAGATGGGGGGGGTCCTCACTCTCCCTCAGGCTGGTCTTAAACTCCTGAGCTCAGGCAATCTACCCACCCGGGCCTCCCAAAGTGCTAGGATTACAGGTGTGTGCCACCATGCCTAGCTCCTTAAGTCTTAAAAGTGCTTATATAAAATAACTTTTGTTTTTTAAGGTGCTCAGAACTGAATCAGTCCTTGACCATATTCTTCATTAATGACAGCAATATCATCAGTCCAGAAGGCAATGCTTGTGTTCTCTTTTATTTTACAGGTTTTATTCCACACAAGTCTGAACTGGTTGCTCTCTTTTTCTGGTACATGACTATATCCTGGGTTCTCTCTCCATTTTCTGTAGGAGTCCATACCCAACCACTTTCATGATTTACTCCCTTGGAGAGCTAGCGCACATCTTTAAGGAGTTTCTAGAGAAAGGGTACAGAATAGATAAAGTGTGAGATCTTGAAAGTCTGAAAATATCTAGAATTATACTCTTGATCTGAATAGCAGTTTGGGTGTAGAATTCTGCCAGGGTTCTGCCTCAGGAGCAGGGCCATTAACAACCTGTGGATCTGGCTGCTACTGACTGAAGAAATACAAACTTAGAAATGACGAGAAAGGAAAAGACAAGACTCACAGGATTTTCAAAGGTGGAAACCCAGGGTACCACCGCCTGCTTATGGGTTTCTGATGGTGGTCCTGAAGGCTATTTGTTCATTACCCCAAAGGGTAGGTTGAGAAAGGAAACAAAGACACTAGCAGTTTCTCTGAATGAGCATATCTGCTCCTATTGTTTCCATTAAACATTCACTTTAAGGGTCTAAGCAGCCTTGAGAAATTGGGATCCTGAGCCTTGTGTGGGGGCAGCCTCCTGTCTGTGATCACACACAGATTCTTAGGGAGGTGTTAATCTCCACTAGTTCACTGTGGAGTCAAACGCCACTGGCGTCAGTCTCTGAAGAATCAGTGGGAGAGAGGGTCTTCCTCTGTGATAGGGGATATAAGTCCTCCTACTCATATTTCAGGGCTCAAGCTGTTCCCTTGATCTCTGCCTCAGCCAAATACAAATTTCCACAATGGGTATTTTCTTTGACTGTTTAATGGGCCAGAACCAGCCTAGTTAATTTATCTTGCCAGGCCTTGGCCACAGCATCTTCTGTGGCCATTATTCCTTTAGAGTGTTTACAGACCCAACATGGGTATTAGTAAGCTGTAGCCCCAATAGGCCAGAGCTCTAGGAAAAGCAGGAAACTTGCTCAGATAAAAAATGTAGCAGCGGGCTCAGTGCCCATAGCACAGTGGTTACACCACCAGCCACATACACTGAAGTTGGTGGGTTTAAACCCAGCCCAGAACAGCTAACCAACAATGACAACTGCAACAACAACAACAACAACAAAAATAGCTGGGTGTTGTGGCAGGCACCTATAGTCCCAGCTACTTGGGAGGCTGAGGCAATAGAATGAAAGTCTGAAAATATGTATTTGGGCCCAAGAGTTTGAGGTTGCTGTGAGCTGTGACAGTACAGCATTCTATCAAGGGTGAGTGAGACTCTGTCTCAAAAAAAAAAAAAATGTAGCAGTGGCAGGTTTAAAGGTAAACTAGCTGACTTCTTTTGTTCCAACCCACTCAGCTTACTTTTTAATTTTTCCCTTTTCTGGGAGTGTTTTCCCTTGCCAAGAATGGGGTCTTCGATCCCCATTTTGCCTGCCAAATTCCAAGTTGGCCATTGTTTTTTAAAAATTTAAAAGGATCTCTCTGTTGTTTTCTGGCTTTCTTTGTACCTACTGAAAAGACTGAAG